AATTGTACATTATTTTAGTTTAACTAATACTTGTTGCAGAATAATAATATTTATTATTTTTAAGTTATATATATATATATATATATATATAAAACCAATTTCATACATTTATAATTTAAAAAGTTATTAATTTCAAATCTCAATATTTACACGTGTATAATATTTTATTAGTCATGTAGAATTATTACTATCAGCAACACGTTTTATGAGTCATCCAACATCTCGCCTTATAATTAATAAATGACGTAAGGGAAATCATAACCACTAAATGAATGCTCTTTGTATTAATTACTTGTATAAAGATTGTTAATTTTTTATCATAACATTATTATGATAACAATCTTGGAATTGAATTGATTTCGATTTTTTCTTTTTTAATATATTAATATATACGAAAAAATAGTATTGCCAAAGTATCTAAAAATTTGGTTACATTAGATACAAATTCGAGAATAATTTTATTAAGTCATCAGAATAATACGTTTTATATATTGAGTATTAAAAATATTAAAAAATTTCTGCAGCATATTTATCATGTTTAAATATTTAATTATTTTGGTGGCTCAGCAAAATCATTTTTAAATCTATATCTGATTAAATTTTTAGATATTTCAGTGAAATTGTTTTTTCCGTGTAGTATATTTTCTTTTTAATATATTAATTATTAATAATTAATTTTTAATGAATAATTAAATATATTATTATGAATAACAAAACTTTAATTTCGATAATTTTAATTTCAACTCTATACTCGTGAAATACATTGTGCATGTGATTATAAAACACAACTGTAATTAACAAATATTATTGGATTAACAAAAAATTAATATTTAATATGTATAATTTTGTTGATGTTAAATGCCAAATGCATACGATTTTCATTCTTATTTAAGAATAAATAAAATATATTTAATGAATTGTTTCTCATATTTGTAATGTTATTAATAGAACTCTAAATTAAGCTGGTACATTAACTCTTAATCAACTTACCTTATCAAACAAGCTAATGGCCCTTTGATGACGATCTCCATCTTTTGGAGTGTCAAAGTTAAGAATATTTTCCAACGTCTTATGTATATCAAACGGTGAGGTTAAATATTGTGTGTTGTACACAAAGTTTGCGTACGCTTGTGGGTGGACTTGCTTAAACCAAGGCGGAAATATAAAGGAAAAAAATGGCAATCTTTCCTCCTGCTTGCCTTGTAAAGTGTTACGGATATCTGCAAATCTGTACAACAGAAATAACACAATTCTTTGTGTGAGTATAAAATGTTAAAAAAACTTAATATTATTTTAATATTAGAAATATTTAAACCTGTGTCCGTGATCGCTCATCAGAATTAAAATGGTGTTGTTTAAGTGTCCAAAATCGTAAAGATCTTTCACCCAGGAATACAGGTCGTCGTCCACTACTCCGATATCATTATAAGAGTCGTGAGAAAGTTCTCCATGAAAGCCAAATACAAATTTTGGCTGTTTTTTGTACGTATTAAATATCGTTTTTATGTAATTCATCATCACCTACATAAACATGAGAAATGAAGTATTGTCAGAAATATATAAATCAAGAAAAAATTATATCTTAATTTAACAATATGTAGTTTTAACTACTTTTAGTATTTATATTGTATTATAGTTTAAAAATAATAATAATATAATTTAAAAATTAAAATTTCGAATATTTCAAGTATTTTCAGTTCTCTCCTTTTTGTTCTCTTTAAAACGGAATCTTTTTTACTTTAAACAATTGTTTTATATATAGACTAAGAATTTTAAATATAAAAATAGAATTCTAACTTGAATGATATCCTTTGCAATGAAAATTTCTTGTAAAAATAAGGAATTAATTGGTATCATTAATTTTTGATTACCAATATATTAAGAGGGAAAGATATAGGTCTCGTTTTGAGTCACTTTAAATCTATCAAAAATAACAATACATGAGGACAAAAGCAATTACTATCTATTTTATCGAATAATGTTTGTATTCCATTTTTTATATTTTTTATCATATTATTAATATTAATATATACATACCATGTGACGTGGAGTTCCAGCTATGCAAAATTTATTATAAGTGTTGAAGTATGAAAAAGCGGCAAGATAATAAGTGCGCATGTAGTGATGGGTCGGTTGCTTATCAAATCCTTTCAAGCGATAAGTAAACGTCCCGATATGTGGGACATCTTCCATAAAACCTGTTATATATCCATGCTCTTCGTATTTATTCCATATCATAGGATACACGTTAACGTAATTCGCTTTCTGAATTCGTTTCCGCGTTTCCGGTAATTCGAGTTCAATCTTGCCAGTTAAAATCGGGATAAGCGCTTGCGGTGTGCCATCACCCACGATGTTGTATCCCTCTAGTACCAGAGCATTTAGTTGTTGTTTTATGAAATAATAACTCTTAGGCAATTTGCGAATAAACGTGTTTCGCGACAGCGAGTCGAAACCAAACATGAGCACATTTAATTTGAGACCTGTGTTCGGCACGTTGTCCCAATTGTGCTGTTGTTTAATATACGGATCATGTTTTACGCCAGCGAGTATACTGTGCCACCTAAACATATTCATCATTAGTGGAATAATAGGGTATATTTGTGAACAGTAAATAAGTAAATTAACTAACACGTCTCCACTTTTCGACTTGCATCTAACGTCTGCGAAATCGTTCTCTCTCAAAATGTAAAAATCGTCAGCCTCAATACCGTCTAATAATTTTGTATTGTAGTCATCTGTTCTGATAATTTCTGGAAAAAAAAATTATTAAATGGAACAATATTATAAACAATAGCGATTATTTTATACTAATTATTAATTGATTATATACGAATATGTAGAGATATGTAGAGATAATATGTAGAGATTCTTTTTAATTTACCACTAAAGATGCATATTATTTGTCCATATTTCGTCTTTGCTTTATTGGTGATAACAAGTCTTGAACCTTCCACTATAACCCAATCTTCTGGTCCACAAGATAAGGGTGGTACATCATGTATGAACTTCATTATTTCTGGACTAGAGATATTTAACTGAGGTAATTTGCACGCAACACCTTCTCTGCAAAAATATATTTAAAAAAATTGATAAATATGTAAATAAATGACGAAAATTGTAAACAATATGTATAATACGATAATTGTTGTTTCAATAAGAAGTAACAAGGACAATCAAGCGTCATTATCAGTGCACAAATATTTAAGAAATATATTTCTTGTGCACTTAAATTAAATATTTCCCCACCAATAACAGCGCTTGACTCTTAATTCCTCTTATATTTTTTATTGTGGACTATTTTCAATAGTCCTCTGATATTTTATTAATTGTTATTTTGTTTTTTTTAATTATTTGTTGAAAAGAAATTATTGCATACCTCACATAAGACTGTTCTGATTCTTTGATTAATTGTGATATGTATATTCTGAAATTATGCAAAGTTAAAGTTAGAGGATGTAAACATATATTATTATTTAGCATTAAAGTAAAAAATTTGAAATATCACTTACAATTTGTTTAGATTTGACATATCAGGTTCATTAAATCCTAGTTCTATTCGAATTACTTGAACGACACAAAACAAAAGGGCAACAGATAATCCTGCTATTATGCAGCGGCGAAAATGACACGCTGTGATTCTCATGTTTATTCAGTTTATTTCTGTAAAGTACAAAGCGTTGTTAACTTAACATCAAATTTAAAATAAATAAGAATAAGTTTGTATATATCATCTACTTCTTTCTTTTTTTTCAATACAATATTTTTTATTGTGCCTGAAATCTATTTTGCTTATTCAGAAATACAAATATTGCTCTGCATTGTTTTTACAAATGCTATTCTAAGAATGAAACTAAAAAAAAATATTATAATAAAATATTTATTAAAATAGATTTGCTTTACTGATTTGTTAATTAAAAGCAATACAATATGACTGAAGAACAATATAAATCGCTCAATCTAAACAAGCTAATAATTATTAATATTAAAAGCATATTCTCTTACATGTTTATGTGTGTACAGTTAGTATAAGAAGGATTATATCAATTCCAACTGACATGTGAGAGACTGGTCACATCAGAGAGCACTGTTGCTGGCTGTTGTACGAGACAAACGTTGATTTTCTCTTATCATAATAAATGTGATAGCGGTATAATGTATTTCCGAATATCACAGATACGAATGTTGAAAATATTTTCCTTTTGTCACTTTAATTTCAATATTACCGCTTATTCTGTTGAACTTTAAAAGAGATCTGATAATGTTATCTTAAATGTTTATTTAAAGTGCATCTTTTATACTGCAATCTAAATATATATGAACTTTTTTAATTGAATAAGATATCTCATAATTTTTATCACGCTATTATACTATCTCTTTCTCTATCTATCTCTCAATATTGACTGTCATACTTGTACGATGTACATTAGTAAATATTTATAATATATTCCTGATAATAAAATATGTCAAGAAAAACTTTTCAACAAGTTGAGTCCACACTATAAGTGCATCATGTAATAAAAGTCTAATTTAAATCTAACTTATTTAAAGTTACAGTGTGATAAGTAACCTGGTAATACATGAGTATCACGAGTGTCACAAGTCGTTAGCAGTAGGAACTCTGTATTATATGAATATTTAAACAATGATTTTTAAAAAAGTGAGCGACAGAAGTGAGTGACAAAATTTTTCATACAGCTAATGCGTAGACTGGGTTCGAGTAGGCCTGTTATTTTAACTCTAATTTTAGCACGCGTGTTTAACTAATCGTCTAACAGAACCTTGCACGTGTTGCATGATGAGAATGGAAACTCTATTTCCGCATTATCACTGACGACAAGTGACTCTGGTGAATGCATCAGTCAATAGCGTTTAATTTACTAAATAATGAACGACGAGAGAATATATGGCACGATAAATGGCAATGAAATTGCTCCGGAGTTTGCAGTTCTCCGAAAAACGATATAACGAATGCACTCGCATGTACACAAACACACACACACACACACACACACACACACACACACACACACACACACGTTTATCTTGGGTCTATGCCGATGTTTTCCGCAGTAAAACGCTACATCGTCTGCCAAGATACTTGTTCCGAAGTCCGTTTGCACAGTCGTGGAGATCTCTAGATGAATCAGCGAGACACGTTACGATGCATCGACATCTCAGCATCATCCTCGCGTCGCGTTCGATACTCCGAATACACCCCACTCGTCGTTCTTCCCATCAAAAATCCAGAGTTCTTTCTTATATGAATTCCCGTCCCTCGACGACAAAATACTGTGGTTTAAGAATCCGGTGGCCGTTTCGCTACGAGACGCCCCGTCCGGTTTGCACACATAAACGATTCCATGTGTGCGTATATGTGTATGTGTAAAGGTATAGTAGAATGTGTTAATAGTGTTTCAGAATGACTGTATTGTAAAGGCCTTTTGTAATATTTTTTACGAGAGGAAGATTTTTTTTAATTCCAAAGAATTTTTTTAATTTTCTGACTTATTCTATTTAATAAATTGTTATGGATTTTTAGGTTTTAACAAATATTATCTAATAAATATAATTTCTTTTTATTTAAATTTTTATTTAAATAAAACCTTGATAAATATAATTTTAAATGCAAAAACTAATTTATCGACTAATACTTCGCAAACTGTGACCGTAACAATTATGTGATAACAATTTGTGAAAATTACGCCTAGTTCAACATTTATGCATCTATGCAATAAATTTACGTATCTTCCTTTTATATTATTACTATCATTAAATATTATATTTTTTATTTTATAAATATTTTAATAAAAAATAATTTAAGTATATAAATAATTTTTTTCTACTTTGTTCGAAACTTACAAGATAGACGAAAAGTTTATTAATAGTACTGTAATTAATTTTGTACTAATAAACTCCTGACTGATTTTATTATATCAATTGATAATTAAAGTTATTTAATACGATGTTAGTCGTATACTACAGCAACTTAAATTGCAATGTACAAAATAAATCGTATATAAGATTCCAAATAAACATTTTTTTATACATATATATACATAAATAATACTGAAATGTAAATGTGTATGCTGGTCCTTCTAGCATATTATTTAACTTTCTGCAACGAAAGGCTACCTCTCCATGGAAATACACGGTGTCTCTAAAGTAATAACAATGTGTCCTTAATAATCTTGATATTATTATAAAAACATTACATAACTTATTATTTTTTAAATAAAGTTTTATATATAATTTATTATTAAATATTTATAATAATATATATTTTAATAATTTCAATTACTTTTTAAGAATGAGTAGCAATATTTAAAAAAAGTATATTAAATAGAAGCAATTAAATAATTAAACTAAATTGAGAATAGTGATTTATAGTCGGTAAAAGTTTAGAAATTTAATACATTTAAGGTCAGTCATATAAAATTAGATGTTAGATGTTGTAAAGACTAGAGTTTAAGATGGATGATATAGAAATTTTAAATGCATCAAATATTATCAATTATTTGCTACTTGTAATCTGCGATTAATTTTAATAAACAAATATATCTACCTTTTTTTAATTTTATGTATAGATAATTTGCTTAAAAATTAAAAATTAAAAATTAGAAAGGATTCAATAATTATATTCAAATATTATTACCATTTGCCAAGAACTGGATTCACTATCGTCACTATTGCAATCACAAATTTGCGGAGGTTCTTCATTTCTTCGAAGAATTTTTATTGGTTTATAGGTGTTATATGTCATCATTAAGTAATCAGGTATTAAGCAAGCAACGACGATAAGTATAGTGAGTAACCAGAATATGGGTGACATTAATAATTTTTGAAAGACTCCAAACATATCACCATCATACTTCCTGAAAAGATATGAAAATAATTATAAGTAGAATTTCATGGGTAGAAATGATTTTGTTTGTAAATATAAATATATTACTATTGATAAATAAATATATTACTATCAATCTCTTTAATATCGTAGATTTTGTACTTACACCTTTATAAGTGAATAGCAAAATGTGCTTACGAAAAATATTAATTCGGATAGCACTACGCCTAGAACAAGTGGAATTGTCCAATATAAACTGCGCATTAAAATCTGAAACAATATTATCAACAGCAATAAATAAAGTGTCTGCCAGAAAGTTATCAAAATAATTCAATTCTATAAATAGTTTCAATAAATTCCAATAAATAAAGATTCTTTAATTAAAAATACCAAACTACTAAATTATATTAATTTTGTTATGAAATTTTATAATAAATTTGGAATTTTATATTAAATTTAGAATTTTGTGTTTGTTAATAAATGCAGATTGATAAATTGTATGAATGTCAAAATCTAAAATACATTTTTTATCCTGACAATAAGACTATATTAATTAAACATTAATATTTTTGAATGCAATATTAACATGCTGTAACAATGATAAAATTTATAATTTATATAGACACTAGAAATAATAAACAATCAATTTTATCTGAAGTATAGTTAGTCATGCTATTTTTCAAAAAGCTCTAGAAACATCTGATCTTATAACAAAATTGCGATACATGAATATTATAATTTGTTTGAGTTTTAAAGTTTGTGTTTTGCAGACTTAATGTACAAAACAATGTCTGCTTCGTGACATACCTGTACATTTGCTAGCAAAGTGACTATATGAAAAATGCATGTACTGTAAGTCCAATGCTCAACTGGTGTGTTATCATATAAATACGTAGGATTGATAGTTGTCACAGCAAATACTACAAAATATGTTACACATGTATGCCATAAACCTACAAATTATAATAACATAGTTAGTATTTATTGCATTAACTTTTCATAAAACTTATCTATAATCATATTTATTTACATTTTATTACATAATTTTACAGCCAAGAAATATCGAATTTGTATTTACAGACCTAGAAGCAGCCACACCATAAATTGTTGTCTTGACATTAAATAATTATTTTTATTTAATTTATACAAGTATGGATGCTCCATGAGTTTCCTCGCGTTATAATTCTGTTCCAATAATCCATATAGCAATACCGGCAGTGATGTAAATATTAAGTTGAAGCCCATTAGAAATACACCATCATAAAGTTCCTATAAAATTAAAGAATTATATTTTACGGGACATATTAATAAGTTATTAGACAACAAAAACAAAAAAAGAATATGCAAAAATTAAATAAACTTGTTATAAAGTCAAAATTCGAAGAGAAAGGTTTATGTGCTTTAAAGAACTATCAAATTGAAAGATATAATGTTATATAAAGAAAACTAAAGAAAGAAGTGACAAAAGAAGAAAAAGAAAGAAAGAAGAGAGAGAAACTAGAGGAAGAGAAAAAGGAAATTTTTCGATATACGAAATAAATGGAGACGTCTTACCTGCGTAGAGAAACCATTGTGCATGCCGAACAACACCTGCGGCGTTATAAACACCACATTCTTATAAAAGAAATACTGCATCAGAAGGCTGATGCGTAAATAATACCAGTGCCCATGCACTAGAATTGCTTTTCTCAGATATTTGAATTTTGTGAAGGCAAAGTCGGCGGATATTGACGCCTGGCGACCCTCCTTTCCCATTATGCCGATACCTACATGTGCTTCTTGTATCATCGAAACATCATTACCGCCATCGCCGATGGCCGCAGTTTGCGGACGGTTTCGCGCCGTTTTTATCAGATGCACAATCTGCATAAATAAATTACATATAATATTTTCATTTTGACTTTTTTGCTATTTCTATACGGAGTGTTCAGAGAGAATACAAACCTCGCTCTTTTGCAGAGGCGTCAGTCTACAACAGACAACCGCTTCGCATGTCATCGCAACGGATTTAAATAATTCCGGATAACTTCTTAACGTCGCCGCTATGCTGACACCGTCTACTATCAATCCGTATTGCTTGTACGGTTCCAATTTTACTTTTCGTCTGTAAAATATTTACGCGGAACTAATATAATATACATTTTATGTTATATTGCTAGACTCTTTTTATTTAGATATTTTCGACAGTGTACATTTCGTCGTTTAGTTTTTCTTAAAACTAACTATTTTTTATCTACATATATACGTACACACAAATGGAATACGCATAATAATTTATAACCTTTTTCATTTAATAATTTAAGAAATTCGTTATTCAATCTATAAAACTAATTGTGAGAAATAATGCAGAAGCCAAAAATTAACGATTGAAAATTGGTAAAACGTAATTTCGGATACCCTTACTCGAAAGTTGTGAGAATTAGAAAGCAGGTTTGCCCTGAGGGCTCATCCATCAGTCTTAGAACCTCGGTACCTTTCTTGAAATGGCCGCAGAGAAAAGCAATGTTTTCGGCAGTTTCTGCTTTGTCTCCAGTAAGCACCCATATCTACGAAAGGGTGTGCTATTATTTTTTAAACCTAATTAATTTTATTAATTTAATTAAATAAAAGTATTCAAAACATTCTACATATTTGAAATTATATTTTCATGATTTTAAAAAGCGTTTGCCAGACAAAGTTTTTTAATATAAATTTCTCAAAAATATAGATGCATAAATCATTAATAAAATAATTGAATAATATATTTTAAAAAAAATATGAAGGCAATTTAATTCATTTAACTGAGATTGCTCTTAATATTTTTTTTTTTTTATATAAATTATTCACAATGCCTTTAAACAATCTTTGATATCATTAATTAAATAAAATAAATAAGAAGTTTTTTAATAATATTATAATCTAATAATCTAATCTAATCTATTATAATTTAATAATATTTATGAGAAAAATAAGGGGCATTTAAGTCGGATCTTTTTGCTTCAAAAATTTTCTTTATTGAAGTAACAACATTAGATATTTCGACCTGTATCAGATCATCTTCAGTAACATATAGAATCAATCAATAAGATAATAAAAAAGTCTCCAGTCACTTGCTCTCAACATGAACAGGTAAAAATATGACAAAGATCAGACAAATGGCCAAAGGTATTCTTAGTATCCATGAGCGAAAAGTCGACCAGTATCAAATCAAGTCTGTATCAAATCGTTACTGAATTGTCATGTTTCTACCTGTTCATGTTGGGAGCAAGTGACTGGAGACTTTTTTAATATAATTTATCTTATTGATTGATTCTATATATAATATTACTGAAGATGACCTAATACAGATCGAAACGTCTAATGTTATTACTTCAATAAATAAAATTTTTCAAGCAAAAAGATCTGGCTTATATGCCCCTTATTTTTCTCATTTTTATTAAATTTAGCCAGGTTCATTTGTTTATTATTAATAATATTTATTACTTAATAAATCTTTTTATATAAAACCTAAAGATAATTGTAACTCCAAAGTCAACAAATCAATCGACAGAGCTACGCCACAGAAGCAATTTTTTTGTGAAAGTATGCGACATAAAAAGTAAAAAATCCCTTTGATAATCCATACAAAGACGGTGCAACGAACTAACTTTGATGCCAGCGACTCGTAGGCATTCCAAGGTTTCTTGTACTTTGTCTTGTAGGCGATCTTCCACCGCAGTTACTCCAAGCAAGGTAAGCCCGCTCTCCATAAGATTATAAGCACGCGTCATATGCGTCGCTCTTTCCGGGCCAATTATCTGTCTGGCCTCCTCGATATTCTGCTGCAGCCTTTCGTACTCGGATTGCTGCATTTTTTTATACGCCACTATCAGCGTTCGCAGACCTCTCTGAAGATTAAAACATTTTAATGTATAGCTTTTCTAAGCTAATAGTTTTTATATACATAATACAAAATATATAAAACTAAATATATTATATACTTATATACTGTATAATACAAAAATATATAACTAAATATGTTTTCTATAACATAAAATACGATTGCGATTTGCAGTACAATATAAACTTAATAAAATTCCTTTTTACATATGTATAAAAAGTTTATTTTAAAATTGCCGCGGAGAAAAGGAAAGAAATGTTGTAGAGTCTGATTTAACTCTATGATACTAAAAATTATGTCCATAATTATTTTCTAACTAACGTATAATTTTGTCAATTACATTAATCACTAATTAATAAAAATTTAATCAAAATTACTTTAATAATATTAAAATAATTTGATTAAAACACATTAAAACAAAAAAAAATATAAGATATTTATATGCAGTCAAGTATTTTGTGTCCAAGTTTGGATCAATTTTATACGTGTCATATTTATGAATATCAATTAATTAATATAATTACTGTTTTATCAACAAAATAACAAACCATAGAGAAATCGGCGACATGGGTAACAGCGTTTTGTATCTTTCCTTCAACTATCAACGGTAAAACAGCCGAATCCGCACCTTTGCAATACAGCCAGATATCTCCCGCTGAATCTTTTACAATTACTGACATCCTCTTTCGTTCTATTCAAGATACATAACATTAGCAATATTCATTAAAATTATATCTAAATCTAGATGTAATTTTAATCTAAAACTCAATTATTTGAATAATTAAAACATCTTATTGCGCAAGTTACAATCTCTCATTTTAACTAACAATTTTAAATGTGCGATTTATGAATAATAATAAGATTCAATAATAATAATAATATATGTGATTGTTTTAAACATGCTGTAAAAAGGCATATAAAAATACAAGTGAATAGCAAGTGTAAAATTCTTTTATGCTATGTATTCCATTTCCATTATAAATTGTATACTTTTATTTAATATCATGACCACGTACCAGAGCTGAACTCCAATATTTCCAGCTTCTGAAAGACTAGCGTGTTCTCCTTGATCTTGATGTGCATCTCCTCGTTAGTATTCTTTTGAAAAACAACACCGCATCTAGCGCTTGCCTCTACTAATGCCTTTTCGTCTGCCGATGCCGCCTGCCATATGTCAAGTGGGTTTGTATAATATCTTGTTATGTATGTACATACAATTACATTTGTTTACGCTCCATTTTAGACGGTAGTCTTTAGCGGAATCTTATCAGGAGATTACGTGTATTTGAACTGCTATTTTTACCTGGTATTCTGGCAGATCCGGATGCATCATCAACGAGCTGTTGACTCTCGTGACTTTTTTTAACCTGAAGCTCTCGCGAAATTGAGTTCGTTTAGCTATGATTTCAGGACGCCGATTTGGCGGCGCTATTTGAACCACATGACATAGTGATATGCTTATCATGAAATGCCAAATGTCGCCCTACAATTACGGATTCTATAATAAAATTAT